CTTCCACCCTTGAAAACATTGCAAAAGTTGATGATTTAATTAGTGATGATCCTCATATGACAATTACAGCTATTGAATAGAATTTCTAGAGGAAGTATTCAAAGTATTTTACATAATGAATTAAAAGTTCATAAAATTTGTAAAAAATAGGTCCCGCATGTTTTAACTGTTGAAAATAAAAAAAATTGGGTTGAAATTTCTAAGCAATTGTTAGAAAACCTTGATAATGGACTTAATAATATTATCACAGGTGATGAAACTTGGTTTCATTTTTATACTGTACCAAGTAAAGAATCAAATAAAACATGGGTTAAAAGTGGGGAAAATCAGCTGCAAATTGCCAGAACTGCACAAAATGCTAAAAAAAGGATGTTTTGTGTTTTTTTTCTCAATAGAAGGTGTTGTGGCAAGAATTGTTGTACCAAAAGGTCAGATTGTAAATGTCACATTTTATAGAACAAATGTATTGCCTATTGTATTTATACTATATAAATAAATATAAAATAAAAAATAATTTGTAAATAAAATTATAAAATATACATTAAATAAAGATTTTTCATTTATTATATATGGTGTATTTGATTCAAATCATGGATTCAAATCAGTTATTATTATAGATTCAAACCAGTTAGTTTGAATCAAATCAATCAAATCAAATCAAATCATATATTCAAATCAGTTCAAATTGTATCAAATTATATATTCGAATCCATTCAAATCAAATTATATATTCAAATCAGTTTGAATTGAATCAAATCAAATCAAAGTACAATTCGATTCAAATTCAATTTGAATGAAATGAATCAAAAATTAAGTGATTCAATTCAATTCAAATTGGTTCAAATTTCATTGATTCATTTGGAGCCTTAGTTGCTACTATAAGCTTGTAAATGTGCATTATTTTGATCATCTGCATTTGAATATTGTTGGGGATAAATACCAGCTCCTGTTACATTTGTTGACCCAGTCTGAGGAGTTCCTATAAAATTATAAGGAACAACACAATTTTGTTGAGGCGTTTGTTGTTGTTGATATAAACTTGGATCCATTGATCAAAATTTTAAATTTTTTTTTTTAAATAAATAAAATAATATTTTTTAATGCAATCCCAAATTACATCATACAACACTAAAATCAGCAATCTTTGAAAGCCAATAACTCCACAAAATTCTACATAATGGAAAAGGTAAACTGATAGAATGAATAATTTAAGCCTTTAACTTTTAATTCTATCAGTTTACTTTTTCATTATCTTGGAGTTATTGATCCCAAAGTCAACATAATCAAACAATTTGTCATGCAGAATGATTTCAAGTGTTTTTTCCAAAATTTTTGGCAATAAACATTGAAATTTATTAATAAAATTAGCCACAAATCTTCATTTTACCCTTTTTTTATCTGGGAATCTCCTCCAAATTTGACATGGGGTTTTCAGGACTTGTTCCTTCTAAAAATAAAAATTAGTATTAATAATCACAGGACATGTCACATCAATTGATTTTCTATATGTGAATAAATTCAAAAATCGTGTCACATGAAGATTTTTTAAAATATCTCATTATTTTTATAATAAACTCGAACTTTGTTGTTAGAGTAAAATGAAAGTACTCCATTAAAGCTTTCTAGTGAATACTTTTTCATATTGAAAGCTCTTCTCTCTACATGAATTCACAGCTATTCAAAAACAGTATTACTTTTTCACTTCAAAGCTCAGATTATTTCTCAATATTGCTTTAAAAGACTTGATAATAAATGAGAAGGTGTAGAATACTTTAAGCTTCTATATGGTCATTACTTTATGGGGGTATTGGTTAATAAGTTTTAGAGAGGTTCACAAAAAACTATTTTATAGAAATTTAATAGTCAGGAATTTTATGTAGATTGGATTCAGCAAAAACTAAAAGGTATTTTATTAGTGATTGTTTTATATTTCTGACTTTATATTGATTAAAGTTTCATTA